CAAGAGACACTGCAGGGAAACCACAAATTTCGGGGTTCCCCTTTTTTAATACAAACCCATAAGTGAGTTCAAAGGCTTAAGGGCGAATCCAGTGGTCTGGGCGGGAAACTGCCGGAAAGCTTGGGAAGTCTCATCCTACCCCTGGAGCCACCTCCTTTGCTCGCCCTACCTCTGGGGTACACCACAACAGTTATTTACAGAGTCTGCTTCATATTTAGTCGACTGCACCCTAAATATGAATGTTTGCAAGCATGACACCTAAAATCAGGGACCCCCAAGTACAGCACCAACATCATGGTGAGCTCGTTCTGCCCCCCCCCCCTCCCCCAATCGATGAGGTGTTAGATTAGGGGAGACCCCCAACCCCCTTCAAGGCAAGGAGCTCGTCGACGCCAGGCCAGGTCTGTCCGCAGCTGCTTCCAGATCTGAGCGCTTGGGCTCAAGCTCCCCTACAACCCCGAACCTGGGGTGTTTAACAGGGTCTGGGAAAACAAACACCGATCCACTTTGGCTTTCTTGCAGGAAAAGTGCAAGTCATGGCCTAGTTGGCACCCGGTTGGCCAAGAGGTGGGTCAAGCAGGTTTGAGGAAATCAAAAACAGTCCTTGTTCGGCTCGAAGCAGCCCTAGCCCGCCTTGCAAGTGATTTTTGCTTGGTAAGGAAAATGGTTGACAGGTTGACCAACATGAGCGAATTGGGTTTACCCCTAAACTGACCTCAGCAAAAAGTGTCCAATTTCAGAAACTCGGGAAATCAAACAAACCCCCACATTGCTGTCCTTGACAGCTCACTTCCAAAAGAGGTCAGAAGGAATAAGCCCAAGGAGTAGCCCCTCCCACCCGCACAGCCAGGGCAGCTCAGAGCAATGTCGGACAACTACGGACAAACAACCCCAACCCAACCCAAAACAGTCACAACACAAACAACACAAGAATGAAGGGGTAAAGTCAAGCGCACTGACACACACACACACACACACACATGACGCTCATTTGGTCATGACCGTGTACCCCCAGTTCCAACTCTTGAACGGCCCCTCTGGTCCGGCATCTTCGTGATCATTCGCGTCACCAAATTGAACGTAAACCATCAACAAGGGGGGGTTCTGCCGCGAGTTTTCTGGCTGGACCTGTCTACTACTTGGATGTTCAACCAAGCTAGCAAGTAGGTTCTGACGGAGAGCCCCTTACAACGATGGCTATAACCTAAGCAGGGCCTAAATAGCTAGCATGGGAGTGCAGTAAAACGACATTTCGGCGTCGACTCGTGGTTATTGTCAGAGTTTGCCTCTTCTGCCCAACGTCTGTTTCCCTCCCGGGCGTCTTTCCCTCTCGGGACCCCGGGCGCGGCGCAGGGCGCCGCGGCCGCGCAGGGCGTGAAGCAGCCCGGAGATGTTGTCTCGCGGCGTGCAAGGGGCGAGAGGCGGCTTTTCAGGGAGCCCAACGACCGCAGGTGGGACACGGGCGCTGGATGGAAACCCAAAAAGGCACCAGGTGCTGCTAGGGTTTGCAACACTTGCGGCCTCCAAGTCCTGAAAGAGCCAAAGGAGGTCACGAATTGGTTTGCCTCACAAGGGGTTGGCCCAACCTTGGAGCCAGACAAAGCGGAAAGGGCCAAACACGCCTTTGGACATGTCTTTGGGTTCTCTGAAGGCACCCCTGAAGTTTTTGTTGGGGCTTGGCATTGGCATTCGTCGCGACAGGTGCCAGGGTTGATACCCCAAATGTGGGGGTTGTTCTTTTTGAGAAGTGGTGCCTCAGTTGTTGGTTGCTTTTGAGGCGAACATTTTGGTTCCCGATTCTCGAGACAAGCCCATGTTCGCAATGGACTAAAGAGCACCTGGCCTGAAATTTTGAGACCCCCCCGGCAAGAAAGAAAGCCCTGGCTTCCCAGCGATTAACCGAGGGGCTTCCCGCTCCAAAACCAAAAGGCACATGGTGGGCTACTTTTTGTGGAAACTAGGATCCGCAGGGCCTTGGTTGAGTAACTTCTTGAGTAGGGACAAACAAAGTCTGATTGGTCTTCCCAACAGCTTAGTAGCATCAGGGGAAGTGAGTTCGCTGCTTAAACCAATTTTGCAGCCAACCCTGCTTGCTACTTGAGTAGGTTATTGGTTTTGAATGATGACCATGATTCTATGGGGACCAGCCCAGTTACCCCAGGTACAGTGTTCATAACCTATTTGCCTGACGGTGGCTCAACATCCAGGTGCCGGTCGGTGCAGTCAACAGGAGGTCCCCTAAAGGATACATTGGGACCAGTTACAACATCACATTACCTGACTTACAGGATTCAAATCCGTGCAAAGTAGGCAGTTGGATGTATGCTTGGTTTCTCTCTTACCGGGCGAGCCCAAAAAGCGTGATTTCCCTTCAACTGTCCTTTACACCAACCCCATGGGTACCCTCAATTTAAGGAACCCTGGTCAGTATGGATCGCTTCCAGACCCCTCCGCCCCAAGGCACTGTGCCTTGCGGCTCGATGCTGAAGAGCCGCTGCGCCTGGCGCAAAGTTGTGACTCCTGGGGCACACCCAGAGTCCTAATGGTAGCCCCGGATTTGTTTACCCGGACCCTACCAATCAGTGGCTCCTCTTTTGAAGGAGATGATCCATTTTTATATGTGATTCAAGCACGAGCCTGTGCCCAGGCAATGGGTAAGTTGGGGTAAACAAGCCACAAAAGAAAGGTTCCCCAAAAGCAAGCCAATCCCCGGTCCCAAAGATCAGGGTTTCCCACACACCAGAGAACAACAACCAAAAGGGAAAAACCTAAACAAGTAAACAAGTACCCGCAACCTTGATCGACGATGAACCGCACGGGCGGACCCCACCAATCTGCCCCGGGCCGATGTCTCTTTCTCCACCGACACGAAGGTGATCGACGCGGGGACCCGGCGACGCTCATCCGAGGCGCGACGGACCCGCAAACTTGAGCCAAAGTGGCACCGGATAGTTGCTATCGCAACATGCCGGTAGTCACCTGAAATGCATGGCTAATCACACCCCCCTCACGAGGAGTCCGTCATATGACGGGCGGAGCGTGCCATTTACTGATAGGATTTAACTGCTCGCATGTGTCCGCAAACAGCTGGACACTACCGCCGTCAGCGGTGGAGCAAACCCACAAAGGCAGTTGCGCGACATCCCGGGCATTAAATTCCCGCCACCACCCCGAATTAATCGGGGTAACGCTGTCCAACATACCTTGTGAAAGAGTCCACATGACGGCACTAGGCCACAACTGTTTGCATCAACAATGCAAGAAGTTTAAATCTCATCAGAAGCCATGAAACAAAGGATAACGTATGTCCATAAGTACCCTCGCCTATCGGCGAGAGGTACTCCTGACCATGCGTACCTGAAAAATGCTTGAATTCCGCAAACCCGGGAGTATCCCCCCATTAGTTTGCTTTCCCTCTCACTCACACTACTTCATGATCAACACGACCAGCAGCCGAGCAGCGGTACGGGAGGGACTTGATCTCTGCGCCTCAGCGGTTCGGGAGGAACATCACCACCTCCGCACCGCGCTGACCATTGGAGAATGGACGCAAGCCTATCGGCCGCAATCCTCGTGACTCGGCCTATCGGCTATCGTCACGTCTCCTCCGGTCACGTCCGCCCCGCGCACGGTCCCTATCACGATCCCTCTCGGATCTCCTGCGATCATCTCGCCTTCGTTCTCGCTCTCGATCGAGTGAATCATCATCACGACGATCACGGGCATCGTCCCTCCTCCGGTCACGATCATCCTCGCGCCGCGGACGGTATCTGCGTCTTCTCGACTCTCTGGAATCCCTGGTGTCCACAGTCCTAACGGACCTCCGAGACGGAGTGCGGGAGACGTCCGAGTCTCTGCGTCTCCTCCCAGAACGAGAGTTCGTGACGATCTGATTGAGAGCTTCCAGTGCCGAAGCTTCTTCACCATTTCTGATGAAATCCCTGACCTGCTTGTTCAGCACTCTATTGGTGGAAACCGACAAGAGGGCGTCCATCACCGAACTCTCAGGCAGCACCAGGAAGTGACCCTCCACCGGGCTCGCCGCAGTTCGCTCAGCCGGCTGCAACCTGATCTCACCTCCTTCAGGTTTCTTCGCCATCGCCTTGGAGGCCGTCAGAGGCGCTACCGCGTCCTTTGCCGAAGACCTACCAAGCGCAGAGTGGAGATCATCCCCACTTGCCTCTCTCGCTGCCGCACCCGGTCTGCTGTCAACGTCATCAGGCCTCGTCGACGCCTCCCGCTTCGTTGACTCCTTCACGGCCTCATCAGGATCCCAACGGGACTTCCTTTCTCTCTTCTGCCCTTCGGCCGACCCCCGACTACCGCCAGGAGCGCCGTCTCCGCCTACCTTCTCCTTCTTGACCTCAACCTTCGGTTCGGCCTGCTTCGTCTCCTTAGCTTCAGCCTTCGGAGCCGGAGCATTTTTCGCCTCAGATGCTGGAGCGGCCTTCCCTTTTGGCTCGGCCTTTGGAACCGGGTTCGTTTTAGCCTTTGCACTCGGCCGGGCTCCTTCAGCCGCTATCGCGACCCAAGTCTTCTTTGGTTGAGCCACAGTTGCATCAACCTCCATCGGAGCCGGCCCAGCATCAGCCTTCGCTTTTGCCTGTGAGACAGATGGACTATCGCCCTTACCAGACCCTTTTCCTGGCACTTCACCTGACTTTGGTGGTGGGCCGGAAGGACTACCGCCCTTACCGCCCTTTTCCCCCTTCTTCCCTTTTCCTTTTCCGCCCTTGACGATCGGCTCCTGCTTGGGACCAGGACCCTGCGCAGCATGATGCACCGATTGAAGCCCTTCGATGTTCACGTCCAATGGCTCCGGTTGACGACCATCAAGAACCGTCCTCACCCTTTCGTCGCTAACGTAGACGAATGTGTCGCGGAAGGGGCGGGAGGCTCCGACTGCCCGGTACTGATTGCCTTCTGCACCTTGGCTATCGCCTCCTTCAATCTCTTCTTCTCATCGTACCCTGTCTCTGACACCATGTACTTCCTGAGATCCGATATCAACGCATGACTGGCCAGGATGTCCACATCCTTCCGATGAGTCGGATACAACGGAGTCAGATGCCCCGCCGCGGAGCCAATCACGTACGCCATCGGGATATAGAAGGACAAGTACGTGTCATGGCGAGCAAACTTCCTAACGGAAGTCGTCATACGCCTACCCCACTGAGCAGCATGCGCCGGGTTAGCTCGGAAGTACTCAGTGACCGAATCAAATCTATCGACTTGGTTGGTCTTAATCAGGTGCTTCGCCACCCACTTCTCCACGAACGCATCCGAGGCCGAAATCCCCGACACATAGGAGAATTGGAAGAGCACCTTCGCCAGCTCATCCCACGCCGTATCGACTCCTCCCTTGTCCTCACCAAGATAAGGGGGGAGTCTGATGCCGCTCTGCACCGTCATCCTCAGGTCAGACGCCATCGAATAGGAAATCAAGTTCCTCTTGATGACTCCGACCACTTCGGATGGGATCCTCTTGGGCTTGAATTGCCCCATGCTCCTCACCCACTCCGGGACGATGCGGCACCTCTCGAAGTCACTTTCGTCCGCGTTGGGGATGAAGTTCGGGTACAAGACCGGGAGCGCACACCCAGGGCACAAGTGCATCCCATTTGGCGTCATCTCCGCGCACCTCAAACAGAACGTGGTGGTCACATTCAACCTGACCTCCTCACGCGATCGCTTGTGCTCTCCCCTATCGGGGGTAAGGTCACCATAGTCCCATGCCCGATGATACACTATCGTGTAGTCATCGTACATGTATGCCGCCTTCCAAGCGCCCATGTGGATCTCGTTCCGAACTGCAAGGGTCTTTCTCCTCGTCAGAAACACGGGTCCAACCAATGACCAGTGCACCCGAAGGTCCACGATTACCACCACGTACCTTCCCGAGTAGTTCCGCAGCCTGTCCCTGACGTACCATGATGGCGATACCTCGGCGTTCGGCGCCATGGTTTCCACAAGTGGGACCAGGCCCTCATCCTGCCTTCCATCCCCAATGGTATCGTACACATCGGGCCTCGTGATCAATATCTCGATCATGGCCTTTCCGTTTCGCCTCACCTTTTGGAGCTGAACCGCCTTCCTAAAGTCCGAGAACTTCATGACGACGTATCCCACCATAGGGAGTTCATTCCAGTGCATCTCGTACATCAGAGATCCTCCAGGTGCATCTTCTTGGGTGTACCTTTGCCTGACGGCACTGTAACTCATGTCACGTCCGATCCGCGTGTACCTAACGGCCACTAACCTAGTGCTCTCCCTAAGGATGACACCATTCCCATCGTACATGACCATGAGCATCGCCTCAACTTGCCCTATCGGGAAAGCTTTGATCGTCGGAATGAAGAACTTCCACGACATCTCAGCGTTCTCCATGCCCGTGATCTCTCTCAGGAACCAGATGGCCTGGTCACTACTCACCCAGTTTCCAGCCTCACGTCCAGTTTCCCTCAGCACACGTTCCTCGAATAACTCCGAGACTTTCTTCGAATTGATGACCAGACCTTCAAAGTCGCATGAGAGCAGTCTCATCAACTCCTTTGCCGCCTCCCGCCCTGCAACGGTGCCCGCGGTCTCCTCGTAGTTCGGGACGTATTCGCCCAACCTTGTCTTCGAGGGAATCACAATCTGGCATGTGGCAGCCTCATCAGGGATAACCCCAGTATCCCTTAGTTCTGGGTTGATTTCCCGCCTATCGGCAAGATAATCCCTCTTTCCGTCCAGGACCACAAGATTGTAGGTCATCTTGCTTGCCGCCTCACTCGTCCGGAACTTTCTGCTTACATCCACCTGATCAGGAGCAAAGGGTCCACTGGGGCAGCTGCACTTACCATTGGCGCTCCTCGCCCAGAGCATAGGTGCTTCTTGTGAAAGTTCACCATCTCATTCAGCTGCGACAGGGCATAAGCTCGATCCTCCAATGACGCACTCTTCATCCCAGCCTCAGTCAGAGGAGCCTCAGGCTTGTCATAACTCGCCTTTCCGCCCCATCTCGCCGCGACCAGCTCAGCAGACTTTGCAGGATCAATCAGATTGCCCGACCATTCAGGCATGTCGCTCAATCTCCTAGTCAACGCGTCTATCGACGCAGCCAAGTCTTCATCCGTCACGGTGTGAGGGTCGACCTTCTCCCTATCTTCCTGACCCACGTCAGGGAGCCTAAAGTCCCCGCGGATGGCCTCCATCGCGGCCTTCTCGGCTTCCTCAGCCTCCTTTTGCGTGGCCACTGCTCTAGGAATCAGGAGCGCTGCCTCGGCTGGCAACGATTTCTCCATGTCAATCGGAGTGTTCTTGGGAAGGATCCTCCGATCATCTCCCTCCCCGCTGTACACATAGTCTGGAGCAGTCTTTCGGTACTCCTCGAAGGTAGCCCCTTTGAAGTTGGTGATCTCGCTCGGGTCTGTCTTCCCAGCCTCAGTATCCCGAGGCGTGGGCTTCTCCGTCCTGGCGGAATCCTTCTTGGAGCCTTCCTGATCCACATCCATGTCG